AAATTATCTTATTTTCAAGTTGGGTTTCTTTTTTTGTTTTTAAAAATTATCGTCTTTAAAGTTTTTAAAACTTCTTTTTTTCTTGCATTTAGATATATTTACTCATATATTTTTTTTTTCCCTTAGATATTTCATTCTTTAAAAATTAAAATTCAAGATGGAACGAACCCCATTCCATTGAAAGTTTCTTTTTGGTGGTTTTTTCCCTTTTAAATACAAATACCCTGTGTCCTAAAAATTTAAGGTAAAAAGAAATTTTTTATTTTGTTTTAATATCTTTTAAACTTTTTTTCTTTATTTTTGAAGGGAGAATGCATTTCATTTGTTTCAGGCCCCCCTGTTTTAAGTTTTTTCCAATTGCTTTTTTTTGGATGAAATAGTGTCTTTTTTATTTTTTTTAGTTTTTTAAATGTTTTTCTAAAATTATTAAAAATTTTTTCCTATTAAAAATCAAAAATTTTTTAAAATTTTGTTTAAACAATTTTTCCAATTTATGTAAAAAAATTGTTTTGTAATATAAATAATAGTTTTTTGGGATTAATAATATTTTGAAACAAACTTTTCCCTACTTTTTCTCTCAGTAAAGTGAAAATTTACCGTGTCCCTTTTATAGTTTTTACAATGAAAAAGGAAAAAGAAGGGGAAAAAAAAAGGGCAATTTAAATACCCGTTTTTTTTATACGTTTTTTTTATGATTTTTTTTAAAGGGTTTTGGGGGCTTTTTAACTGAAAAGGGGATCAAGATTTTAACGATTTTTAAATAGCTTTTAGTTTTGGGACAAAGCGTGATTTTCATCTGTCAAACAAGTTGCTTAAATATTTTTAGAAATTTTTTATAATTTACCTCAAAAAATTTATTTTTTTTTTGTTGAGCAGTTTTGTTATTAATTTGCACCGACTACTGTTTTTGGAATTGAAATGAACAATGAATGAAAAACAAAAATTGTTTAATGAAAAAATTTCGGGAAAGTTTTTTCTGTCTGGTACCTTTTTTTTCCTTAAAATCTGTTTTGTTTGGGGTTTTTGCTACTTGGGTCTGCTGGGCCCCTTTTTTTTGTTTTTCAAGTTCTTGGGGTTGGTTTATTTTGAAGGGCCAAAAAATTTCTTTTGTTGGAAAAAAAAATCTTTTATTTCAAAAAAAAAAAAATTGTTTTTATATTTTTAAAAAATTATTTATTTTATTTATAATTTAAAATTAATAAATATATCATTTAATTTAAAAATTTTTCCCAATGCTGTAATTATATTCAAATATTTTTAAACTTTTTTTAAAAATTTTAAAAGAAACCGATTTTTGCAAAAGGACTTTTTTTCTGCTTCCCCTTTCGATTATGAGAAAACAAATTCAAAATGTTAATTTGCACTGACATGGCTGGTGTGAAAGCGTTCCTTAATATCAGTCTTGAAGTTATAGACACGAATGATCCTCCGACGGTAAGTGATAAAAAATGAACCAAAATAAAAATAGAACTATATGACAAAAAACTTGAAATGTTTTAAATAGACTGATTTTGTTGCCTTATACTTTGTAAGTAAGTAAATTATTAAAATATATCATTAATGTATGTTTGAATAGCTAAATTCACTTTTTTTATGATAATAAATTCAAATATTAGATTGATTATCAGATGAAGTCAAGTTAAAATTAGTTTAACTTCAACTCGACTGCATATGTCAGTTTAAGAAGCACTTTATAGCACCAACTAAACGTCAATTCCATTTACTTTGATTAAGTCAAATTAATTACAAATAACTGAAAATAATAATGATGAATTGTTTTAATCAGGATGTATTGGTCAATGGTTTAAAGAAATTGGATATAGATGTTCCAGAGAATGAAATAAATTATCGAGTTGGTGATCTCTCGGCTGTAGATGATGACGAACAAGATAAACACGTTTTTAATCTTGTGCAGTCAGCAAATGACATGTTTTTGCTTGAAGGAAATATTCTTAAGGTACAAATGTATTACTATTTTTCTTTGGAAATCTGATATTACACATGTATGATCATTTTAAAAGTTCGAGTTATTAAACAGTCCATTTATTTGCAATATAAAATAAAAGCACATTTGACTTGAAAATCAAAAAGAGCTTTAATCTTTTATTTTTTTTCATTCCTTTATTTACCTGTATCTATTTTCCAATTTTAGACTTCAAAAACAGACAAGATTGACTTTGAACGACAGGAGAGCTACAATCTTGTTATATCAGTAGCTGACGACGGAGAACCTAGACAAACATCATATTTTGACATAGTTGTTAATGTTGTTGATGTTAATGAATCACCAACCATTACGATGCTGTCAAACAACAAGGTTTGCTACTGCTAAATCTGATTAATAACAACTAAAATTCACTTAATAGAAATAATTATATGTATGAATGCAATATAATGATAATATAGATTTATAAGTGGGATGTCCATTAATTCAATATTAAGTTAAAACAACTTTGTTGCTTGTTGATTTAGTGACTTAAAAACTAGTTTCGATTTGTCTAATTAAAAACCAAAAACATAATTTGTATTACTGAGACCAACTCTTAATTAGTCCATTCGTTAAATCTAAATTAAATTGGCTTTACTCGGTACCATAAAGCACTCGTACCGAGTATTGGCTATAAACGGAAAAGAAGATTTTTTTTCTGCAAGAAAAAAACAACAATATAAATGAGTAACAACAAAAATGAAAACAATAAAAATATAAAGATATAGGCAAAGCTATGTTATAGTAAAAATAATTCTGAGAATTTGAAAATAAACAAAGAAAATTGTAACATAGTGACAGCGCTTGAACAATTTTATCAACGTCGTACAACCGTTGTTCAGTATCTATCTTCAACTTTAGTTTTAACCCTTTCTTGCAGAATTAAAATGAGTGAAAGTAATTGTTGAACTTTTTATTAATATGGAGTTCTTGTTGGTATTACTGCATTGCATTTTATGGTGGTCACACTGAATACCAACTTCCTCTCTAGTACTTGATTTTTTCATTGTGAATGAACAACAACTAAATACAGAAGAAATGAAATGTGGCTAACATTACATTGAAAAAAAAAATAAATAAAAATGTTGTTCGATTGATATTTAAAATTGCTTTTTACATGAATGTTTTTTTCCCTTTAAGATATCAGAGAAAAGTGCTGAAGGTACAGTAGTTGGTGAATTAACAACAATAGATCCTGATAATTTGGTGGCTGAAAAACAAACATTTACATATTCTTTATCTGATGATTCTCACGGGAGATTTCAATTAAACGGAAATTTGTTAGAGGTAATGTTTCATTGATTAAAAACCTCTACATCTGTTTCATATTTCAGTCGTCGCTATTGTAACGGGTATAAGAAGGCATTACAAGCCCCGTCGTTATTTGATCAAATACGACGGATAGCTAATAAGAACCAAATAATAACAGTTAACATGCAGGAAAAATGCCGTATTACGAACGAAAAGGATGAATGAAAAATATGCAGGATTATATATAAAGTCAATGAATCATCGAATGCATTGACTCCATAATGCGTATTCGGCAATTAAAGCAAATCATTGTTTAAGAAAGAAATGCATGTGTTTAAATAACGTTAGAAACATATTTAATGCTTTGTCTTCCTTTCCTTCCTTTAGCTCTGGTGTTACTGCGATAGAAAAGAATATTAATTACTGTTGTCATTTTTCTTTGAGATATGTATTTTCATTACTTTTATAACTGTAGGTTCGAAAGTCCACACAGCGTTGTGGTGTTCATTATTGTGTCCTTGACTTTGAGAAAGAGAATCGTGTTATGGTCAAAGTAATTACATTAGACGACGGTAAACCAGTGATGCAAAGAGAAGACAGATTTACACTTGAAATTGAAGACACAAATGATGCCCCTACTGATATTACTATTGATACAAATGTAATAAAAGAAAACCAGCCACCTGGAACGTATATAGGTATTGACTCACATTTTATTTCAATATTTTTATCAGTAGGGTATATTTGTTATCACACATTGCTAGTTTGTCTTAACACGATACATGCATATTTAATAATTTGTTATACCCAATACATAACAATAAACAGTATGAAAATATACAATCTATTTTTGATATTGGTTTCAAATGTATTTTATCTAAACAGGTACCATTAGTGCACTAGATGACGACGGTACTATCATAACATATGCAATTCAGAATAATGCAGAAGTATTTGAGATTCAAAACAATAAATTGTATACATTGGTTGAACTTAATTATGAAAGGTTAAACAATTTTGGACTTATGGTATTGGCTAAGGATAATGGTGTTCCAGAGGGAAAGGTAATTGACATTCTGATTTTACACAAACATAAATGGAAATGCTGATAACATTGTAAACAGATATCTGTGTTATTCGTAAACCAGGAAGAAAAATCACACTATTGCTGGAATTCATATTAAAGCAAAGACTATTTATATGGCATGCTCTTTATTTTGCCTTAAGAATTTACTTCTTTAATGTGCCTTACATCGACAATACTATTTCAATTTTCCAAGCATTTTTGATATTCTAATGGTTTAAATATCATTTGATTTGCTCCTGAAAAATTAATAACCTACATGTACTTTTACTGTAATTGAGTAAAGAGAAGAGGTGACAAAGCGGTTGATGTGTCTGTTTCTAAACCTAGGAAGCCCAACCTAAGCCATGACCATGTTGTCTCATGTGACTATCTCGTTATCGTCTCTGGTATGAGAGGATGATTGAAATTGTTGATTAGACTGTTCTAACTATATTGAAGCATTTATGAAGTTCTCGTCCTACTCCAATCTGAGTCCATTTGACATAACAAGATAAATAAAATGTTTGAATCGAAAAATGCCAAGTATTTTTTTTATTGAAGTATTGTTATTTTCTTTTTAGATTCAAGAAATGATAAATATTAATGTACTTGATATAAACGAACAACCATATGTTGTCAATGTTTCAACATCATTGTCAATCAGAGAGGATGCGAATATTGGAGACGTTGTTGCAACCTACGCTATTTCAGATCCAGACTCTTCGGATGATGTGGCAGTTTCCCTTCTGGATAATTTAGATATGTTGTCAATACGTTCACCAGTTTGTAAAACAACAGTATGATGTGTATACACTTTTAATTTAAAACCGTATTGTATTTCAATTTTACTGATAAACAGACTGTTTTTCCTCCTGTTTTGTAAATCTTAAGAGTGTTAAAAATATATGTTTCATTTATGAAGACAAGAAACTCTTGAAATACGTAGTAACTAAAATCATTTAAACTATTCATTTATCTAACAATTAAACATTTTTTAAATAAAGCGTATGTAATGCCTGTTTAATTTGTAGCCTCTCTCTGGAGCAACAGATTGTACAGTGGATTTAATACTGATATCTTTGTTAGACATCAACAAAATACAAACGTTCAGCATATCTTTAATCGTCTCTGACAAGGCTGGCCTGGCTGCTTCTGAAGATATTATTGTAAACGTTCTGGATGTTAACGTCCGACCAACGGTAATTTATTCCAATGTTGATAGAGATGTATTTTATAATTTATAAAAAGAGATCAAACATCATTCCGATTTGATTATTTGCTGGTATAACACCAGTTCTAAATGTTTATTACTAAATTCGAAAGCACCTCGCTTATAGTTGTGGGCAAAATGTACAAAACGTAACAACGTACAGTATTTCATTTTTGAGTATAATCAGTTTGAAAGGAGTGAATTTGTGTTTTGTTTTTAAAAAAATGATTATGTTGTTTTCAGGATATACTTCTGGATGGTATATCTACAGATGAGATATATGTTCAGGAAAACACAAAAGGTTCAGTCATAGCACTTTTATCTGCATCTGACAGAGATCCTAAAGATAATCATACTTTCATGATAGTCTCGGACAATAATACATACTTTCAAATCGATGGCAAACTATTAAAGGTATCATTTTGACACGAATCCACAATTTGGCAGTTCCGCGCAAGCATAGGTCAATAACAATTTCCTTTTTTGTAAGATACCCATGGGTTGTTAGATACAAACTAGTTAAAAGACTATTTCACTATTAGGTAAACTTAAAACAACGTCTTCACAATTATTTCTACTGATTTTATTTTGTTCTGTCGTCAATATATGTATATGTAGCATTACTAAACCGACATTGTAAAGGTCATATAGCGACTTCCCAGCCCTTTGGTATAACTTCGTGCATTATATTATGCACGAGCGGGCACCCCAGTAGAACCACCGGCCTTCCGTTAACCACCTGATTAGCTTCCTCGCATAAAGGAACAGGATTAGAACCCACAACGTGACAGTATTAGAACCCACAACGATGTGTGGAAAGTGGTTTGAATTCGCTGACTTAAACCATTCAGCAACAGAGGCCCCTTGGCAGTTCATATATATGGCAAAATCAATATTGACACGAATATTAAAATACAAACGACAATTAATAAGGCATGTTTTATACATATTTTAGTTTCAATTTGCATGAATTGAGAAAATTGTGTCAAATTTCCACGCATATTTAACTTTTCTAATCCTGAACAGAACCATTATTCAGTATTAGTACAAACTTCAAATAGATGGTAAACCTTAAAGATATAATTTTGACACGAATCACTGCTCAAGTAACATAAAAATAACTTGCTTTTTGTAAGAGTTACAGGTTGTTAGATACAAACTAGGTTTAACGTATTAGGCTGTTTCTTGTGTCTTTCTATCTTACTATGGCGAAAACATAAATAGGAGTATTTACAGTTGTCAGCCATCAATATATACAAATGTAGTATTACTGTCTCTGCAGACACTACCAGCCGCTAATATTGACTATGAAGCTATGTCTGATAATTTGACACTAACCATAGAGGTCGTTGATTCTGGTGAACCTCCGCTTTCATTTCGGAAAACCTTTACAATCATCACTGAAGATGTGAACGAAGTACCGTCTGCTTTGATACTGTCTTCTTATCAGGTTAGTTATCATTTATCATAAGTAAATACATATTAACATACTATAGCAATGACTTTGTTATGTATAAGAATGTTGGAACAGAGATTAACAAAGAAAGGCGACGTTTACAGAACACAGACGCCGACATAACACAGTCACATAGTCAAGGCACCAAGTAGGGCACCGGACCGAAAACGGAGGGAGAGGTTGGGTCACAAGTGCGAGCAAATTAGGAAAGATTTGTACCAAAAAACTGATAAACTCAAAGACGACTTTAACCTGAAAAATAAATGAACATTAAATCTTTTCTGAAAAGTGACGCTTTTTGTTGATTTAAATATGAAGTAAAATGGAAATCTCAAAAATGACCTTTATGAAAATAGTATTTTATATCGTTATGATTAAGGTGTCAAACTAATGATATCAAATATGTTTAGATTGCAGAGAATTCATTAACAGGCTCAGTGATCGGAACCATTGATGTAACAGACCCGGATAGAAATCAGTCACACAACTTAAGATTAGTAAATGATTACCAGGGACGATTCATTCTTGATGGAAACGTGCTTAAAGTATATTTTTTAATATTTAAACGTTATTTTGTCATTATGTTTAATATTCAAAATGTAATTACTTTCTAAAATAAGAACACACTGAATATCGGGTAAGAATAATCTCCAAATTTTACATAATTTTGCGTCTTAAAAAAGTAAAAGAAAAAGTTGTGGAGGTAGTATATGTACCTGTATTAAAATATCATCATTGACTTTATAACTAGTTTTCCATACATACATATATTTATCTGTGCGTGTCAATAACACTCTTAGGTAATCTGTAAAACGTACGGCGCTTATATTTTCGAAAGTGATTACCCGTTGCCGTAAGTTTAATGTCACATCCGTGCAGTCTCACTAAGCTTTATACTGTTGACCGGCTATCTTCAACTTTTCATCTTGTTTTCCTCAAAGTAATTATGAATAGTTCAATTAACGAAAGCTAAACACGTCCATTTACGACATTCAGCACATTAAGGGTAAAAATAACAAACATGTCCATTTCAGGTTGGTGATGGCGGTAGTATGTGCACCCTAGATAATACATTTAAATGTAAACTTAATCACGAGGACCAGTCCTTGTATAATTTATCAGTTGAAGTAAAGGATTCGGGTATCCCGGCATTAGTTGCTTTGTTCCATGTGATCATTAATGTCACAGATGTCAATGAGAAATCAAGGAATATCAAAATAAGTGGTACGTTGTATAGTTATACATGTAGTAGCAATGGCTCATGTTTACAAATTAACCGATTAAATTATTTTTACAAATGTTTTGAGTAAGCTATGACCTATATCACGGTAATATTTCTAAACATAACGTAGTTCACATTGTAGCACCAAAAGACATTGGTGTAGCATATGTGTCACTCTAAATTAAGTTTTTGAAATTTGAATTGCTATACTCACTCGTGAAAATAAAATCTGTGGGATATAACATTTATAAACATTAAAGAAACATAGTTTTGCCTAAATTTCATCCCGTTTGCAGACTTCTTTTTACAAAATAAGTGTACATACTTCTCTATGTAAAATCTCGCATCACAAGATGTCACATACCTTAGTATCCCTTTCATTATATCTCTCATCTCATGCAGCAAATGTTTAATTCTGTAAAAAAATATAGAGAAATACACTATTTGTTAAGTGAAATATGTTTGCAGATAACAGGATACCAATAAAAGCCCCGAAAGAAACATTGATAGGAACTCTTTATGCAGATGATGAAGATATAAATCAGTCCCATGCATTTGAAGTTTTAGAGGAATCTCAATATGTTGATGTCAGCAGTTCTGGACTTGTCACAGTTAAAGATGTCCAGAATCTAAATGAGGGAGAAATCATTTCGATTTCTGTAAAAGCAATGGACAATGGTAGTCCACCATTGTTTGTAAGTTTCAATTACTTATTAAATTTATCTTTTCTGTCTGTACTTCTGGATACGAATCTTCCTATTTACAATACACAACAGCTATGATACTCATAAAAAGTACAGTCGAAAATACAAAAAAAAAGAAATCAAGTCATTTGAACAATGTCACAACTTATTTGACACTATATTGTCTAAATAAAACACAACATATTAAACCTAACTTAAAAAATAAGAATCCAGACAAAGAAAAAATAATACTAGTTCTGATTTTCAGACAGATGACATTATCCAGCTTGTGACTGTTGGTACAAATATGATCATTGTGACGTTAGAAGCTGTTGGTGATACTGTGCAGCTTGCCAATAACAGTATACAAATTAAAGAAAATACCCCTTTGGGCGATGTTTTTGCGCACATGATTGTGACATTTCCTGAAACAGACCGGGATATAGAGACAAAACTGATATTTGGCACCGAGATAATTGAGGATGGATCAACATCTTGCCAAAATGTAAACACATAATATGAATATATTGTAATTATTCGAATACAATTACAATAACCTAAGATATTTATCGTTTGTATAATAGAAAATCATTGCATAGTGTTTCAACGACGTTAATACATAGTCAGAATAATAATAAGTGATTTTATCTTAGCAATCAGGTATTTGACTTTAAAATGCAGATTAATTTGTCACTTTTATTGCGTATTCTTTAGCCAACATTTGACCACGATTTTACCTATGCATCCAGTGCAGACCAAGATCAGGCATTTCTGTGATAATGGTCAGAACTGTGTTTTATTCAACCAATACTAAAACTCCCTAAAATGATAAAAGTTATATCAAGACTTACAGTTTGAAAAGTCTCATTAGAATGTTAAGCATTGTATGGATTTTATATGTAATGCGTTTTTCTGTAGGTCGATGGTGAAACAATATGTCTTCATGAAATCAAATTGAGCAATCCAGTAGATTATGAAGAATTGAAATGGATTGACATTACATTTGAAACAAATGCAGATGGCGCTAAATCGATCGATTCGTTTCGGATAACAATCAAGGACATAAATGAGGCACCAATTGTAAGTTATGATTTTATCTAAATGCTTCATCTTTACATAAATATCAACATTGACAGTTAGTTTAAAGGGTACAATTTTGTTAACGATGTGTCATTTCTTAATTCGCGTGTCATTGCCAGTGCTATTTATCAGGATCACATGCATTTCGTGAGATATGATCTAGTTAAGCAACATGTCCATTTAAAGATTCTTAATATTGTATAGTTTGAAACAGCTAGTGCATCAATAAGTGGACGCGGTTACTTTCAAATGAAATGAAACTGTTATTAATTTAATCAAAGCTTTATATATTACTACAAAAAGCTATCATTGTTAGCATACTTAGTCGTTTCTTTTATCTGCCAAAATAAAAAAGGCTTTATTTTTCAGTCTATAACGTTCGGAAATGGTGTGGTAACTGTTAGTGAGAATTCTCAAAATCAGTTTATTGGTACGTTTTCTGTCTCCGATCCAGATATGCAAGACCCTCACGTATTCTCAATTACGGGAAATAACAACTTTGTCATTACTAATGATGGTCGATTATTCACATCAGCAGGTAAAGTGCTTAATAATAGCTACCTTGTAAGATTGAAATATTTAAGTAATAGCTTTAATTGAGATTAATTAATATTTACAAAATTTGATTATTGTTTTGAGGAAAATTAAATTTGACAGAACTATCCACATAAGAATACAAAATCACATTGTTCCTGCATTTTTATAATGATCTGTTTACAATTTTAATTTCATTCTCTGCTTAAGAATTTGTCATGCATTTTAAAGCATCATTATGTATATAAAATTGATATAATATCATGTTTGACACATTACAGATGCCGAAATAGATTACGAATCTGTACAGTATATGACTATTTCGATTGTTGCTACAGACGCGGGCTTACTTACTTTTACGAATAACTTCAATATAACTGTCCTAGATGTAAATGAGATGCCAATAAGTTTAATATTGGATAATAACAAGGTAAACTCTAAATTCACATTCGGAACAATATTACAAAAACGAGGATAAAATAAAAGCTATATTCAATGTCTTAACTGTGTTTTTAAGTAATGTTTTACAAGAAGATTATCTTTAATTTATAGTTGTAGCTAACATTTACTTATGACTTTGTACGATTTTCAGATTCCCGAAATGTCATCAAGTGGAACTGAAGTTGGCAGTCTAATCGTTAGTGATCCAGATTTTGACCAAAATCATTCTTTTACACTGCTTTCAGAAATTGGAAGTCATCTTTTCGAAATTGTTGGGTCAAAACTTACGGTAATAGTCATTCAATTACTTACTGAGTATAGAAAGATAATTTAAAAAAAGTATTATTTATCAAAGTTGAAATCTGAAAGTTTGCGATTAGAATTATTTACATCATTACAAAAAGTTTACTTTTTTATATTTAAATAGAATGTTTTATCAAATTTGACATATGATACGTAGACGAAATCAATTATCTTTTTTTTAATGTTCTTGTTGGTACAGATTGCAAATAACGACTTGCAATGTGATATAAAAGACCACAGCCGCTGCTTGCTAGATTTTGAAAGACAATCAGAATATAATTTGACAATACTTGTCATGGATTATGGAACACCAACTCTGACAGCAACATTCATAATAAACGTTCAAGTTACCGACGTCAATGACGTTCCTAGATCGGTATCAATAAGCTCGAACAAAGTGCCCGAAGACGCGGAGATGGGAACAATTGTTGCGATCTTAAATGCTATTGATGACGATATTGGACAGACAATTACATTTGCTATTGGGAATAATGACTATTTTAGTATTAAAGAGAGACAAATTATGTTGACAAATACATTGAATTATGAAACTACTTCTGGTCATAATATTTCTATTTTCGTGACAGACGATGGTGACCAACCATCTACAGTAAGTAGGAAAATAGTTTATTGTTGTTTTTATGAACTTTTACTACAATGTATATCATATCCTTAATCAGTATTTCTAAACTTTTTGAACCGACAATAAACTTATCATAATGTTAATTAATAGAAAATAATTGTTTAGTGATATATAGCTGAGACAAAATTTTAACCTAAGAGTTGTTTATTTTATTGACAACCTTAGCTACTTATTACTCTATTTGCATGCCTTTTTAGTGTTATTATTGGACAATTTTAGTTGTAACATGTTTCCAATCGTGTGATTTTGCGAATGAAATAATAATGATGTTTATTTATTAATAAATAAATATATAACTATAGGCTACACAAGAATTTGTGATACAAGTGATTAATGTAAATGAACCTCCATTTAACATGAATATGTCTTCAACTGGCACAAGTGCTGAACAGTTCGAAATTGACACACCTGTGATATCAGAGAATCTACCGGCACTTACCTATATCGGACAGATTGTTGTACTTGATCCTGATAAATCAGACAATCTTAAGATCAAAAGTGTAACAAGTGACGCGGTTGTTAGAAATGTGCATTGTATTCCTGTGTCAAAGGTAATATTTTTTTTATTGGTATTGCTAAAGTAATATATAGAGAGACATATTTCATGCATGATTTCATTGACACTAATGAATAGAGCCTAAAAAGGAAAATAATTATTTGTGTTGCTTTGAAAAATACTTTTCATGAAATGCTTGACAATATTTTTTTTGAAACATGTTTCGCTTTTGAGCTTGTCTGCAGCAATGCAAAATGTTTTTATAAATTTATAGTTTTAAATTTTTTGATGAAATCTAGATGAAATCAAATCGAAATGAAACTGTACTTTATCACAATATTCTTAACTTAGGGTACCCGATGCACTGCTGATATCAGATCTGGTAGAGTTTTTGATTTTGAAGAGGAGGGGAGAGTGCAAATTTCAATAATAGCCATTGATAATGACGGACTGTACATACAGAAAGATATGGATTTAGAAATCAAAGATTCGAATGATTCGCCAACGGTAATAACAAAATATACAAAGATTATGACTTACAAATATGGTCGGACCCTTCTTCATTATTAGAAATATGTGTTTGATAAAATAATTTTGTGTTATATATGCTCTTAAATAAAATTTAAATAAATTTGATTAAAATAATGCAAAGTGAATTATTTGTTATCGCATCGTTGAAATTCATGATACATATTTTATTTAATTTTTGAGTATAAGAAGCATTCAAAAAGGCAAATTCATATTAAATTCGTATACGAGACGTCTAATTGAGTGAATACAGACCGGTTGACATTATAGTAGTCTTAGAAATAAATCTTAGCATTTAAATGATATTTTTGTAGAATATTTACCTGAATAATACTGACACATCAGAATTGGTTGTAACGGAAAATTCCAGGAACATTATTCTTGCAAAGCTTACTGTTGAAGACATGGAAGACGTACAGCATCACTCTTACACGCTAAGTGGCGACAGTTCAGTCTTACTCATTTCCGGCGACGAATTGTGGGTAAAAACTTTTATTATAGAATTTGAAACTATATTTTGTGGTGTAAATTAACTGAATGATATGTTATGTTTACATCGAAAGTTACAATCAAGTATTTCAAAGTTTGGATAAAATATCTTTAAAAAATTTGTTTTGGTTAACTCGTGGTATATTTTTATAGCAGACTACAATATATATGTAATGTTATAAATTTATTTTAGGTAACAGCTGCAGCAGTGTTAGATTACGAGGCCAGAAAGGAGATACATTTTACAATTAAAGTTACAGATGACGGCATGCCACAAGGATATTTTGAAAAGGACATAAGTCTTAAAATCATCGACGTTAATGAAGCTCCTAGTGGGCTGTATATTTCGGATAACATTGTAAGTGAAACGAACATGCCCTATGATTTCTGCGTTTATTATTTTTTTCCCTTCATGTCCTACTCACTCTGCTATTGTGGCTTGGTTGTGTTGGGGGCTGCGCCCTGTGAACGTCGCCTTGCCTTGTTGATCTTCATTTTCTTTTTGTATACTCAAAACCGTCCTGTTTGAGACATGTTGCGGTCGTACAAAATTTTTCCGTACATGCAATGAATGTTTTTATATTTTCATCCACAACGTATTGTTAGGCAATCATTTTTTGTTTTTGTTGTCCCCCTTCCTGTCCTGCCTTCTCTGCTAGTGTGGCCGGGTTGTATCAGGGGCTTTGTTCTATAAGCGTCGCATTGCCCTGGTGATCTTTGTTCTCATTTTTTGTAGCAATAATACACATCATTCTGAATGCTTTTGTCGTTATAAATCGGTTTTTCTGCATATATTGTAATAACTTAGCTAGAAATTCATATTTTATGCGTAAGATTTTATCGTTATTAAAACGGTTTTCTTTTCAGATTCCTGAAAATGCCGATGACGGTTATGAAATCGGAAGTTTTATAGTAAAAGATGAGGACAATATCATCAGTAATGAACAAGATTTCACGTTTACTTTACAAATACCGTTCTTTTTCAAGTTTAAATAAATAAAAATTCGGGTTTAGTATTCGGTAGTTTTTTTTTTTAAAAAAAAAAAAAAGACTTCAAACCTATTAATTAATGGTAAAATTATATATTGAGTTTGAGTACATATTACTGTTTAACGATTTATAAAAGATGAATTAAAACGAAAACCTGTAAATAGTATACATTAAATCATTGATTAAGTTTGTAAAATGTTTATAATTTAAACATGCTGATTTTTAGATTGGATAAGAAATGTAATACGTAATGTCTACTTTAAGTAGGAATTGGTGTAAATAAATAAAAACACATGTTTTCCAGTTGTTTGACAATATGCTATTAATACATTTTGTGACATAATAAAATAATTGTTTGCCTGCCCATTGTTTCACGTCATATCATTTATTTGTACTGTACTGTTTCAAACGATTTGAATATTTAAGAAACTATAATGATGTATTTTTCTGCCTATTGTATAATGTTATGATATTAATTTTGAGGTTGCTGCTTCAAGGTTTGATTACGAAACCAAGAAACTGTATGAAGAAGTGGTGATTGTCACAGATAGTGGCGTGCCAAACATGTCGTCAACTTTTACACTGTCCTTTAAAATTTCCGATGTTAACGAGCCACCGGCACATTTGGAATTTGAAGGCAGTATGTAAATGTTTTGTTCTCATAGTATGTACATGTATGTAAGTTAAAAATGAAATATGCAGAGTAAATGAGTTCCAAAAAATTCCAACGCACTTGACTTTTCAATATGATGATTGTCATTTTTTAAAATGCTGATTGTACATGTAATATTATTTTCATAAACATATCTTTTCAAACCAGAAAGCGGCGTTCTTGAAAGTGCAATGATTGGTGATATAGTAGGAACTCTATCGGCGCGAGATCCAGACGAGGTTAAACTTTAACTTTTAATTTTTGGGTACGCTTTTTTTGGCATTGATTTTTAATCATTTTGTTATAAATGGAAGGGTGATTAGAGTCTTGACGGAATAGCATTTATTTTTAGGGTTACGACAGGGGATACCGCATCTGATGGAAAAACTTTTTGCATTTATGTCTTTAAAAATTAGGAATTTGGTGACATAAAATAAATAATCTTTTTGGTATGTCAACAAAAATTAAAAATGACTGCTCCCTTTTTTATTTCCCTACGTGTTAAAACAAGATGACTAAAAATTTTTTTTGGTTCAGTTACCCAGGGTCCCTGGTTTGATCCCTCAGCGACGAAATTTTCCCCGGGAAAAATGATTCGAGCATGAGTCAGGGGGGGCTTTTGCCTTTCACCGTGAAAATGGAGATTAAGTTGGTCATTTGGAAAGGGAATTGCCTATTACTGGTTATATACCATGGAAAGCCGATTAGGTGGATCTTCCGCTGGGTTATGAGCAAAAATGTGTAGTAATCGGCATTAAACACCAGAAAAAAAACAACCAACCAACAAACAAACAATAGATGATTCCAATGTATTATTGTCTTTGTTGTTTCTTTATCAAGCTTATCATACACATTAAACATATGTGTGCGAACTTAAAATATTTCTGTCCGGATACAAAAATATTCTTTAAAATTTGTATATCAAAACATGTGTTTCGTACGATTTACATGATATAAAAATAATCATTGAACAAATTTTGTAGTTGGAGAAGAATTTTACATTGTCAATTATTGATGTTAACGAAGTTCCGACTGACATAATTGTCTACGACAATTATTTTATGCAAATTCATGAAGGAAGTCTAACGACGGACCCAATAGCAAAAATTGAAATACATGATCCCGATGAAATAGAACGATTAGAAGCCGAAATTGTGTATGGTAAAGAAATTTTCGTGTTGGTACCAGCTAGCCTGAACTGTTCAAAGGTATTAATTGCTACCAAACATATATATATTTTTCTGGAAAATACGGTATGAATTAATTTTAGTAATAGTAGTTAATATTTTGATCAACAAACTACTTGTTGTATATACGAGTCGACAGAATTACATTAAAACATTTAAAACACAATATATGTGATTAAATTATATAAATTATTAAATTAACCATGTTTATGTTATTGTAAAATAACACACATAGTTCTCATTTTGTGTTATGTTATTGTTAATTTACAGATACATGAAGAATATTTATCTGGAACAGTTTGTGTGACCAGTCTGTTTCTTAGAAAAATGTTAGATTTTGAGACGGATCCTAAAATGATTGACCTGTCCATAAATATACGTGACAAGGGCCGGTTGTCATTGCAGAGGACATTTACTTTTACTTTGATGGACGAAAATGAACTTCCAAAAGTAAGTTTTGGAATTGAACTTAATTCAACTAAACAAGTTTCATGACCTTAGCAGTTGAAAGTAAACCAGAGATAATTTGCATAAATTACGAGTTTCAGTAACTTAGATTTTAAAAGCTTAAAATATAAAAATTGTTTATTTTGATCAAAGAATACAAAATATAAATAAATCGCAGTTCATACTACAGTCTTTATGTTGTTGTTTTTATTTTAATTTTTTTTCTAACTGCATAAGCCGGTGCTAGGGGGTGTGGGAGGTAGCTTGTTATCACCACTACCGAGCACGAACAGGCTCAGTCAACCAGCCTACAACATATTCAATCTTTATGTGTTTTGCTTTGTTTCTGATTCGGGTTTCCTCTATTTTACATATGTCTTATAAATCTTACTCTTTTTCTTTTGAACAGGATATAATTCTTAACTACGTTACAGACGTTGTACCAGAAAACACTCCAGGTTATGTTATAGGAACTCTATCAACAATCGATGACGATTCTGATGATTCGTTTCAAAATTATAACGATGAGTTTAAATATGTCGTTGTTTCTGATTGGAATACATTTACAGTTTCTGGCGACAAGCTTATTGCAAAGTCATCTCTTGATTATGAAACACAAGATTTTTATACGGTTTCCATCCGATCACAAGACACATCTAATTATCCAAAATTTTTGATAAAAGATTTCACTATCGTGGTCGGCGATATTAATGAAGATCCATCAAAGATAGAATTGCTACCTACACAGGTAGTTATAATAATTTTTTTAACGTTTTCATATTTTAAAGATCAGTTGTATTTGATATTACATATATTTTCGTGTTCGTAGTGGTGTTGATCTTTTGTATGTATTACTAATACCTGAATGAAAGACGAATTAACAGTATGTAGAGAAGGGTAGAATAAAATATCGCTAAACTATTTTGTAATTTTAATGTTACGAATAACAATGTTCACTTACAGCAATAATATTTAAATACGTTTTATTTCTGTCTAGATTGCAAAGAAAGCAGTCGCTGGAGAAATAGTTGCTAAGATACGAATAACCGATCCTGATAACGAAGGAAGACCTAGATTTCAAAATCATACATGCGATGTCGCACCAGCAGATCAGTTTGATATAGACAACATTGCATTTGTTATCAAGGTAGTATTAATCGCCTAAATCTTATATTGGTAAAAGTAAGTAAGAACATTTAATGCAGAAGAATATCCATGGATAGTGATAAATGTTTTTGATATATTGATCACGTTGTATACAAACATTGACATTCTAGCAATCCTATTGTATTTCTACTAATCTGTCTGTTTTTCATATCGGTATGGAGCAACATCGTGTCAATGAACAATCGCAATCCAATATTTTTTTTGATTTCATCGAAATGCTGAAGCCAAATTGATTTCTTTAAGCCAGTCTGAAGAACCTTTCATTTTAAATAGAAATGAGAATATTAACATTTCTAGATAAAGAAATGGAATGCGAGAATAATTTCATACGTAGCCTTTTGGATGTTTATATAATTATGTATATTGAATTGAATCATACAAATTAATACCCGGACTCTTTTGTCTTTTACTTAAAGACATTTCCAATTAAACAACAATATTTTTAATAGAGAAATAATAAAAAATTAATTTTCTGAATCTTTGCATAATTACAGAAAATCATAGTTGAAAAAATTATAAAAAACATTTGTAGTCTCCATTCTTCATTGTTTTGTTTGCGTTTTTAAAGAGCAGATAACTAAAAACATCAAGCAACACCTTATATGAATTCAAATTCATTTTTGTCACTTTATTTCCTGACATGGTACTATATTTACTGAAATTATATGGAACGCCTGGACTGTCTTATGTTAAGAATGAATGATATACCTGGTTAAATGTCTTTCTGTTGGGCCCGAGATAAAAAATGGGGGGGAAACCAAATTGCTCAGTTATTGAGTGCTATGTTTTTGTGCTGACTGAAATTTTATTCATAATTTCAATGTATTGTCGGGGGGCAAAATGGGTTATGTTCATTTTCTTAAACCAACAGGATGTGGTACCCCCAATTATTTAAAGAAAAAAGGATTGTTTTTAGGGTTTTTACATTATTATGTTCGGTTTAAAAAAATTCCCATTGGTGCTTTTTCTTTTGTTAAACCTGAAAAAAAACGTTAAAGGGGGTACTATCTTTTTTTTGGGCCCTGGGCGTTATTTTTGGGGGTTGTTTAATTTTTTTTTTTTTTCCGTTGCAAGGACTGTGTTGGGGGTTTTTAAATTTCTTTTTTTAAATTTGGGGAATAAACTTTTAAAATTTGGGAATCTTTATTTTAAATTTTTACTATCTTATTTGTGTGCTTTATATTTCTTCAGTAAGTCAATGTGTTGTTCGGTGTGTGTTTTTCCCGGGGTTTTTTTTGGTACTATTATTTGTTCATTCAGATGATAAAACTTTTTGGGGGCAGGGGTCTTTTTGTTCAATAGGGGAACAAAAACTGTTATGTCGTCCACATTATTTTTGGGTTCTTCGGATATTTCGGGAAACCAAAAGGGAGCGACAAATTTTCCCCAATGGGCCTGTCGGGGCCCAAATTGCCCAAACAAAATTGCCAAAAAAATTTTTTCTTCCCTGTAAATATTATGGGGGTTAAGATCTTTTTTTTTCAAAAATTGGGATTTTTTAAAATCCCCAAATGGGTTTTTTATTTAGTTAATTCTGACTTTACTTACTGTTCCTTCAATGGGTACATTATAAACTTAAAAAAGTGGGTAAGGGGGTAGCCTTTTTAAAGTCCCCATCCCCGGAAAATATAATTTTTAAATTTATCTTTTTGGTCCCCTATAAGAGTCAATATTGACACAGAAAAGGGAATTTTTAAAAAAAAAAAATTCATTAAAAGTGGGGAACCCTTTTTGGAGTCAAGGGGGGCCAAACGTTATGGAGAAATTATAAGAAAGGGGAAACCCAAATTTAAATTTCCTTATGGCCACAGCATATACAATTTAAAAATATATGTTTTGGGGAAACCCATTTGAGTCACCATAACCACAAAAATGGAAAAAATTTTAGGGGGAAAACCTTTTGGGGTCACACAGGCCCACGTTTTTGGAAATTAAAAATTTAAAGAAAGGTTTGGGCCCCAAGCCCAACTTACCCTTATGAAGAACTTCTATTAAGAAACGGTTACCAAAATTGGCCCACACGGGGCCAAATTATGAAATTTTTTTTAAAGTGGGAAAATCTATTTGAGCCACACATTTTTTTTAAAATATTATGAAACATTTATAAAAAGAAAGGGGTAGCCAAAATTAAAATTAGACTCAAAAATTTTTCCCTGATTTCAAAACCCTCGACCCCCCTTTAAAAATTCCCTTTTTTATTTTTTTCCCGCCCATTTTTTTCTCGTTTAGGGAAAAGCTTCTTTTAAAGGGGGACCTTACGCCCCCTTTTTATGGAATGCATACTGTTTTCCATTAAAGGGGTTCCATGAAAACCCGCCTTTTAAAACCATCATCTTGGATGTTTCTAATTAAAAATTCACTATTTTTCGTTTTAATGTTGAATTTGTTTAAACCCGGTGTGGGGGCGTCCCGGGTAACTTGCACCCCCCATCCAGTCCATAAACGGCTAAAAAAAACCCGAGTCTGCAAATTTTAAAATTTTGCTTTTTGGCTTTCTTTAGGTTTTTTTTTCTTTTTAAAATTTTATGTCTTTTAATATTTTGTGGTCTTTGTGGCCCAAATTGGGTTTTCATTCCCTTATATGGGAATTTTCTTTTTTTGGGGCTATTTTTGGGTTTTCTAGGCTACCCACTTATTTTATGTTCCCATTTACTGTGGTCATGTGGGTCTAAAATGGGGTTTTTACAAAATTTTTAACTTTCCCATTACTTTTGGCTGTGGGGACTCAAATGGTTTTCCTTACTTGATTTTATTTTTATTTTTAAAATTTCTTTTTGATGTGCCCATTTTTAAGTTTAAAATTTCCCAAACATATATTTCAAGTTTTATTTACGGCGGTCATATCTGACTTGAACAGACTACCCTTACCCATATTTTAATTTTATATACTGTGCCCATTATGACTGTAACAGTATAGTATAGTCATAAATTAAAACTTGATAAAATACCCATCCGGTATTAAATATTCCCATAAAAAAACTGTCCAATTTTATGGAAATAACGTTTTTAACCTCCCGATGGTATTTTACGGGGAAGAAAATTGTTTTCTTGGCAATTTAGTGGTCATTAGCCTCGACGTGACCTATGGAAATAGTTTGCTCCCGCCCGCCATCTTGTTTGACGCGAAGATATCCGAATGAACCCAACATAATTGTATGACCACTCAGCGCATTGTCAAATGACTTGTGCACCGAACAGTATATCATCTGAACTAAAAATAATGACTTCTGCACCGAACAGTACATCATCTGAACTGAACATAATTGACGGTATCACACAACAGTTTGTGTTCACAACTGAACATAATGACCTCTGCACCCGAACAGTATATCATCTGAACTGAACATAATGACTTCTGCACCGAACAATTTATCATTTGAAACTGAACATAATGACGGTATGCACACAACAGTTTGTGTTCACTACTGAACATAAATGACCTCTGCACCGAACAGTACCATCATCTGAAAACTGAACATAATCACGGTATCACACAACAGTTTGTGTTCACTACTGAACATTATGAACTCTGCGCCGAACAGTACATGTCATCTGAAACTGAACATAATAACGGTATCACACAACAGTTTTTGTGTTCACTACTGAGCATAATGGACCTCTGCACCGAACAGTATATCATTCTGAACTGAACATAATGACTTCTGCACCGAACAATTTATCATCTGAACCTGAACATAATGACGGTATCATACAACAGTTTGTGGTTTCACTACTGAACATAATGACCTCTGCACCGAACAGTACATCATCTGCTGAACTGAACATAATCACGGTATCACACAACAGTTGTGTTCATTACTAAACATTATGACCTCTGCACCGAACAGTACATCATCTGAACTGAACATAATAACGGTATCACACAACAGTTTGTGTTCACTACTGAACATAATGACCTCTGCACCGAACAGTATATCATCTGAAACTGAACATAATGATAGTACTATTCAACAGTTCTATTATTTTCACGACTGAACAGTCTAAATAAAGCACCCAAACAGCATTGTCATTTGAACTGAAAATAATAAAAGTATCACCCAAATAATACACTGCCTCAGCCCAAACGAAATGATAGTACCACTCAACTGTTTATTTTCATGGTTGAACATGATAAGAAGAGCTATTTTAACCGAACATAACAACTGTCACACCCTACAACATATCTTTTTAACTCAACATAATTGTGTTACCACATGCTTGTTTGTTTTTTAAGAACTGAACAGAACGACTAATGCACCCGGCAATACATTGACTTGACTGAAATATAATGTAATCACCACACAACATTACACTTCAATAACTGAGCGCATTTGGATTTCCACCCAGTATATTGGGATTTTGACCAAGCATATTGTATCTCGGACTCAACAGAATGACATTTAACCATGTATATCAGTCATTCTACACATAAGACAGTCCAGGCGTTCCATAAAATTATATTTTTAGATTTTTTATTCTATAGCATTTTTGTTTAATATTTTGTGGGGACTATAGATCTAGTTTTTAATTTTTCGTGTATCATTTTTATTTTTAGTTGAAAGTACCACTATCAGGTGACGTTGATAATGTTCAATTAACGGTCACGTGCACTGACACAGGAGTTCCGGCTCTTTCTTTGAAGACAGCTTTTGATGTGTCAGTTGTTGATAACGTTAATGCTCCTAAAGACATCCAGTTAATTGATGATCATGGAAGTGTAGAAATATTTGTCAACGAAAACTATGCAGATATCGTAGTTGGAACTCTTTCGGTTATAAATGCATTGACAAATGGTATCATACAAAGTGTGAGAATTACAGTTATTGCTTTTAGCTATATAAATAATACAATTAAAAAACAATGAGGATGAAATCTTACCTTATACTCTAAAAGAGTTTTCTCATTTAATAATGCCAAAATTATCTTAAAAAGAGTTTTTTTTTTCTTTTATTATGACATGTTAAACGCATTATGAATAAATATTGAATGTGACAATATCATAACATATTTTCTGCTTTTAGGAAGCTGCATTTACCTTATCTGCAGCATCTCTTGAATATGTTTCAATCGATGCCAAGTCATTACTACTGATAAAAGCTTTAGACTTTGAGAGTCAGCCAGAAATTGACATCGAGGTATTTTGCAAAGGCTCAGAAACGACTGGTGACAGTTTTAACTTTCCCAACTTTTGTTGTAGTTTGTTTCTTTTTTGCATTGTTTATTTTTCAAACTTAGCGGGGTGAAAAAATTATCTTTAAATTATTTTTTACTGGTATACTTTTTTTAATAGAAAATCGCAAATTTTTTTTATTTTATAGTCAGTGAAAGATGTCAATGGCCCCTTAAAGTTTGATAAAAAGGCAAGGAAAACCCTTTAGAAAAATCGAAGCCCGGAAATGTAATTGGGATTTAAAAACTGAGATTTCCCATGATGGACAGCGCAAATTACACCTACTAGGGGTTAATATGGATCCGCTTTTTTTCCCCATTGCATAAAAAAAAAAATAAACCAACACACTAATGTACTTTATTAACTATTTTTTCACCTTAGACAAAATTTCCTACACTCTTATAAAAAGTAAAAGGAAGGGGAAAATTGCAATTTTTTTTTTTTGAAATTTTTCAATTTTAGATTTTGGGGCAAAGATGACGTGTAGAAATGCGAAGCATTTTTATTTTTTGCGAGTAATTTTGGAGCTACTATATCAATTCGAGAAAATTAATTTTAATTTTTCTGTGGTAAGATCGTTGATGGAGAAAATCCGTTAAACGTCACCATATGTTCGTTTAAAAAGGATATATAGATCCCCCAAAAAATTAAATTTTAAAATATATAGGAAAAGGGTGAAATTTTTTAAATTTTAGAAATTCACGTTTCAATTCCAATTTTTTAATTCACTTTTCGCTTCCTAATTCAGCTTTTCCATTTCTTTTAAATTTCCCAATTCTGGGTTGAAAATCTGAAATCGTAAAGCTGAAATTGTGAATGCATGAAGTTGAAATTGTGAGTTCGTGAAGCTGAATTAATGAGTTCATTACTTTAATGTCCCTAACGGTTTTTCGTAGGTGGGACATTTCAATGGATTTCATACAATTGTATTGATGGTTGTTAAAAAGAATTTTAAAATTGATTTTATTAAATTATCAAAAGATTAATTGACGGACTTTGGTAGAAAAATGGCTATTTACTTTAACTATTATTCATAGATAGCTGGAGTACACATGTTTGCTGACTAAGTGTTAGTATTAAAGATTGAATACTGCTTATGAATACTGATGTTTGAGATGTTGCATTAGGCATTATATCACAGGAACAAATCAGCCACACTGAGTCTGAAAAGTGATCCTTTTGATTTCTATGTTTGCTCTCATTGATCTCGAGGTATCTTTACTTTTCCAGATTTTGTATTGTTGAATACTGTAAAAGTTCTTATTCTAGTGTCGTTTTAGTTTTCTGTTACTTCGGGAACATTCATTTTAATGTTTGTTGTGTAAAATGTATTATATTTCCAAAGCCTGAGAATTAATGCACTATCCATGATGTCTCAAAAAAGCATTCGGTCAAACCGAGTCTGAAATGTTCACCTTTAATGTTATTTATTTTTGTAATTTGAGTATGTATTCTTCCAGTTATCAAGGGATCTCACATTTTCAGATTTTAATATACATGCATATTTTTTATATTTTAAACATTAAATTATTTATATGTTTGCTCAAAATGCAAGTTATACTTTTCTGTATTTTCTATAAAGATTCCAGAAAACAGTCCAGTAAATACTGTTCTTGGAACACTTTCAATTGTTGACGAAGACAAAAATTCCAAGCACCAGTGTGAGATTCTTAACCTTATCGACGTTCCATTTAAGGTAGTACCTCTTTCCGGTCTTTCCGGGAGATAATTGAAATGAAAATGTATTGAATATCTTGTTTGTTGTAAATATAAAGGTCGAATAATACTTTGCTTAAGATAAAACCTCATTGTCGTCACGGATTTAGTACTGATTACATGTTATTTTTATTTGTAAATTGTGAATAAAGTAATGTTTGATTATATAAGAAAGTCAAACACATATGTCTTGTGTTTTTTTCCGTCTTCAGGTATTAGCTGATTATCAGTTAGCAGTTGCAATTGATATCCTGGACTACGAAACACAAAAGACTTATAATGTTAAGGTATTTAATCTTAGAATGAAGTAATTGATAATACAGACAGCTGCACTAAGCTAAGTAATATCTTTACATGTTTTATTTTGCAAAAATGTTTATATGATGTGCATAATGTATATTTGTTGAACGTTTTGAAATATTACGGTTTACAATAACGACGACAAAGCTTCGTGCATATTTTTGTGAGGTATTTTTATCACATACTATCATGACAACTGATCCGGAAATTGTCAAACTTGTATTCATTTTTAATTTATTTGAATTTCATTATTCGAAAGATTGTTCTATCTTGAAATTGATCCCTTATTAAAATCTAGATCTACAAGAACGATTGATTTGACTACTCTATTTAACTCGTAGCTTCAAAAAATATAATGTTCAATTTACATTGATTTTGTCTTTTACTGAATTTTCTACCATCAAGGTTTATTGCGGAGATACTCTTAAGGATGGAAGTTCCGTGGGCATAACAAAGATGTTTATTGTTAACGTCACAAATGTGAACGAAGCTCCAACAGATATATTGTTATCAGAGCAAAGTATTGAAGAAAATAATGTCAAAGGTCAAGTGATATCTGAAATTTCAGTTGTTGATTTAGATAGCCAAATAGTAAGTACATCTGATATATCTGTGATTCATTAGTTGTTACAAAATGCAAACTCACATTATTCAGTTACAACAGTTATAGAGAAAGTCGAAATATATGTTTATTCATTATGATATACTTTGATGCATTTTTACCATTGGTTAACCTACCAGCCTGCTTTATTTATTGTGTTTCTCTTTTAATTATAGAAAGGATGGACAAAATGTCTTATGACAATGTTAAAAGACAAATTGTTCTATTGATGCAGTGATGTCTTTCTTTCAATTAGGAATAAAGGGGAGCATTATTCATTAATAATAACAAAGTTACAGCCAAGACATATCTATTCGCAACATTTTATAAACATATAGTGTCTATAAAGTGCACAAGTTATCATATTCACATTAAATGATACGTCTGTGTCTATACATATGGCTACTGTGTAACACATGTTTAAAGTTAATATTGAATAGCTTTAATTGTATGGCGTATGTTTTTTGTTTGTTTGAATAAGATGTTATAAAACATTGCTAACAGTCTGCCAAAACTTACCTTGTAATATATAAACAATTTTTTCAAGGTCTACATCTCAATTGAGGATACGGATGCTGCAGATTACTTTCAAATTCAAGACAAGTTTAGTGTTGTTGCTAATGTTGTTTTTGATTATGAGACCAGAGTTTTCTATAGCATTGTTATCAAGGCAGAAGATGGGGAAGGTGAAGTCACAGTGAAAACATTTGAGCTAGAGGTAATATAAGTATTAAGTAAGAAGTTACATATTGAGATGGTATTATAATACGAAATGAATTGATGAAAAAGTTTTTATTGCAACTAGTCAAGTAATACTATTTGTTTTTCCTTACCAAAGATTTTAAACTTTTGACATTAATTAATGATGCATGCTCTTGTGTCCGTCAAATAATTTATTTTTAATCCGACGAAATTTATTTTAAGGTAATAAACATAAACGAAGCACCTTCAAAGATCATACTGGATCACCTGGTAGCATCTGAAAGTTCTGAACCTGGAAGCACAGTAGGTAGATTCACAACTGAGGATCCCGACAGAAATCAGGAATTCGTGTATACATTAAATACTCTGAACGGTATGAAATGATAATGTTAAGAGATGAATGAATGAGAGGGTTCTAGAACGAAAGCAATATATAGAGTCAAAACGCAAATGTGTCAACATTTCATGTAATCAATCTGTATATGCAAAATTCTAGAGTGTGACTAACTAATGTACATGTTTGTGAATTTATCTTTACTGTCTACCAAAGTCAATGCATTTTTTGGCCAAAATGATTTTTTGTATTGAATTATCTATTTACTACACATATTCTTTATGATGAGTATCTTTAGTTTTAGCTGTGTATTTCTTTTCATGCACAAGTGTAATTAGAAAATGCTTTGTTGTAATTTGAATGATTGCGTTACTTTTAATTAGCTATCTTATTATTTGTTTTGCAGGAGGCTTTGATATATACAATAATATACTTGTTGTCGGTGCGACAGGATTGGATTTTGAAACAATACCATTTTATAACATTTCAGTGATGTCTATTGATAATGGAATACCTCCAAAATCTATCGAAGTAATTATATCCTTTGATTCGTGCATGTTAATAAATATACATTTTCCGAGATTATATGGAGCATTTATTTAACTCGTCATTTTTGAGTTGATGAAAACGTAATTGTTCAGCATGTCTAACATAAATTCAGTAAAATATTTGAAAATAGTATGCACACATAAATAACTATCAAATCTTATTTGTACAATTCAAGTGACTTTATCTTTCATACACAGCAACACTTCATTATCGAAATATTAGACGCAAATGATCCACCGGATGATATTATAATAGACAGATTCGTAAGCGTTCCAGAAAATGCAGAATTAAATACTGTCATAACAACCTTCAAGGTTGCTGACCAAGACACAGGTCAAAAGCATGCATGCAATGTTCTAAAGGGTGAAGATCTTATTTCCGTGGCGACGGAAGGTAACGAAATTCAGAAGATGGTAGTAACAAGCAAACTAAACTACGAAGACGCTGACAAAGTCGATGTCATTCTAGCGTGTACAGATGGAGAATATGAAGTCAGAAAGGTACATTTAACAATATGATTTGGTTTGTTTTCACCTACTGATGTAAATACTTATTTTGATCTATTTTCTACAAGGACGGTTATTTTATATTTCATACTTAATCGCTTTAATCGAGTAGCGTCTATGAGACATAGGTACAGATAAGATTATTGAAGAACAGTAGGTTTGCATATTTGCCTTAGATCGATATGATGTTTCGATTGCAAATGAAATAAGAAAGACAAATTGTGAAGAATTTTGAATTGTTCGCCAAACGAAAGGATTTTGTTTGATGAACACATGTCGGAGATCCTTAGAGTTGAAAAAATAATTATAATTCTATAAATAAGATCACATGACCTGGTTTATCTTTTTTTTGTTTACAAGTCGGGTATAACACCCCTTTTTTTTGCCGAGAAAAGTTTATACCTGTCATTGGGATATGAAACTTATTTTTGATCGATCGATTTTCATTGAAATCTTAAATCTTTTTGTTTTATAAGTTTGATCTTGGTTAAGGAAAAACATGACCTTTTTATGAGAATCAATGAAAAATTAAAACTACATACTAATTCACCATATTAAGCAGATTGTTTTCATGAAAACCAGCATTGGATTCTATCTATCATTTGACAATGGCTTTTGTCAGAAGGTTATTCATATTATTATTCTTTTCTAATTTTTATTTATTTATTTATTTATCAATAGTTATTGATTTTCCATCCTCAGAATTACTGATTTGTCGTTACATTGTAGGATTTTACAATAAATATAACTGACGTAAATGAAGCACCAACTTCCATTAAAATTACTGGTTCTAACACTATATATGCCGAAGCACCTATAGGTTATGTAATTGGCACAGTAACGGTAGAGGATGAGGATATGGACCAATCATATTCATTCACACTCAGTGGGGAAGATTCTGATATCTTAGAGGTAAAGTTCTCATTTGTACTTTTTAAAAAATAAATGGTTCAAATGTTGAATTAAAATGGTAACAAAACAATAATCTCATTAACTGCTACTGCATAATTTTATTATCAAAGTAACTTAGTTTTATGGTAAAACGGGAAATACTTAGATTGTTATTGTTTTCTTTTGTAGTATCTCCCGTCTTCAAAATAGGCACTTTTTGCAAAAATACGTTATTTATAAAAAAAATGTGTTATAAAAATATATTGAATGTTTATCAATAACGGACAACTGGCCAATGCCAATTATACAAATATAGCAACATTTTAATATGTCCCGAACGTTAGTGATAATTCAAATAAGAATTGCATCCGTACTTTAAATTGATAATTGCTCTCAATGTTTAATCTAGAAGATACACATGTATCAATTCTGACAAAAAAAGGTTTTAATTTCAGATTTCTGCAAATAACGAACTGATTTTAAAGAAATTTATTCCCGACGAAAGTAAAGATACCATGGACCCCAGTATCACATTCACAATTTATGTAGCAGACAATGGCACACCGGTGCTAACATACATGCAGGCATTTAGGTTACCAATCACGGACGTGGAAGTTGAATATGAGGGTCTTCCTATTATAGAAATAAGCTTTATTAAACTGAATTATACAAGCAGAAAAGGAGATGTTCTAGGACAGATATATTCAACCAATATAAATGTTTCTTCCAGCTATCAATTTAGTTTGGTAAAAAATCCAAACGACATATTTTCTATAGAGAATAACGCTTTGATCGTGTTAGCCACAAATATTGAAACGATAGATGAAACTTCGTTTGAGATTCGTATCCAAGTTGAGAATGTTGAGACGCTAGAAAAAGAGACAAAAAACATAAAAGTATCCATCAATAAGTATAAAGATTGCCTTTTATCGGAGAACAAATGTAAAGGAAATGAGACATGCGTGGAACTAGAAACGCTAAACGTGTGTGAATGTATAGTTGACTTTAAACGTAATTCAGAAGAAATATGCACAAAAATTGACGATTGTAAACTTGATAGGGAATTGATAGAGAACCAAACTTCTCACAAATGTTTAAATGGAGGGACTTGTATCGATAGTATTCATAGTTACAACTGCAGCTGTACTGATAGCTTTGAAGGTATTCATTGTGAAAAAGAGAAAGCAGGGTTTGATGATTGTAATGTAAATCCTTGTATGAATAACGGCTCATGTGTACTTGAGACTAGTAAGTAACATTTAACTAATTAACCGTTTCTGTAAAATAAAATAAAATAAAATAAAACAAAACATATGGAAAATATCAAGTAAATGATACCCTGTGTTTGCTGACAATATAAAAATGTTTACAACTTGTAATGCCATGACTTTTATTCCAGATGCTTCATTTTACCACTGTGCATGTAATACTGGCTGGACGGGAATGTTATGTGACGTCAATGTCGATGACTGTGTGGATGCAACATGTTTTCATGGTGGCACGTGCATTGACGAACATTTAACCTTTTTATGCAAATGTGACGACGCATGGAAAGGTCTGCGCTGTGAATATGACAGTGTAACGTGTATAGAAAAAGATTGTAACATTTCCCATGTGTGTGTTGGTTTTTCTAATTCAAATAAAACATTATGTCGCGAAAGGGATATATATTTAATTAAATTAGAATTCACAAAAGTAACAACTTTTAATATACAAATCTTTCAAGCACGAATGGTAAGTTTCATTTTAGAAAACGCGGATCTATCTGTACTACATGTAAACAGTAAAAGACAAAAGCGAGAGACTTATCTTGAGAAATTGCAAATATACGTGACAGATGCTGTAGAAATTGGTGGTCAATATATTATACGTTTTGTCATGATAGACCTTGATTCTGAGCCGTTAAAAAAAGACGATGCGTTGACTATTCTTACACAGATATGCAACGACACAGGTAAATCTTTGGATCTTGTGAGTTTTTATAGAAATAATTGATTTTACATGTAAATTGATAACTATAGTTTGTCAATATGAACAAAGTATTCTACAGGTTTATGATACTACAAAAAACAAAGTTAAGATACCTGTCAAATACACGCTCCTGTCACTATTTATAATGTTTTTGTTAATATACATAAATAGATACGTGCATATGTGTTTAATCACCATTTACCTCCAGTAATTGATTATCATAGAAATATTTTTTCGGGTATAAGTAAAGATCTGTTACTAATTACATTCTTGCCTTTTTTCTTCAATCTTAATTACCTGTATCCAAAGGTATTTCCAAGAATTTAAAAGTCGATTATCAGTCGCAATCGAAAAGTTACTTGTGTCGCATTAGTTAATCATGTGTTGTTAGGTACTTACTCGTTCGTGCTATGACTATCTGTATCTATATGTTGTCATAGGTAGTGGAGATGTCAACGGAGGTTTGTTTTGTCCAACGATCATACAAGCCTATACCGACATCAATAGAAAACAAATAAGGCCAAACTCTGGTTCTTCGGCAGGAGCGATCATAGGAATTATATGTAACTTTTCTTTGCAAATGATAAACATAAACACATGATCACTCTGGAGTTAACTGTTTTTTTATCAATAAATTATTCTATTTTCTAAAATATTGTATATTAATAGTTGAAGGAGGACAAAGATAGGCGTTGCAACTGATTTATTTATTAACTTTGAGACAGTTAAGAGCCGTTGCAATAACGGTGAATAAGTGCAAAGGAAAATTAAATAATACTAATACTCACACAATTAGTTTTTGAAAGGCAACCACTGATATAAAGGAAACACAATATATAATAAATAATAAATGAACATTTAGAAATATATGTGTAATTCATGCCTTTAACAATATTTCAGTTGGCGTCATATTCGTGCTTGTTTTAATGGTGGTTGTCTATTGGTTATGGAAGAAAAAGAAATTTAACACCGTCAAGCCAATGGTTAGTATGTCATGTCAAATGGAAAAAAAACACAACAAGACATTGGTCTATTTTAGCACTTTGAAAGTTTCAAATCTAATAATAGCATTTAGAAGTATAAGTTAATAGCTAATTTGAAATCATTTTAGATTCATGCGACATCGCTATGGGTTTGAATCCCGCAAGGGACTTCGGATTATGTCATGTGAGGAAGCTGTCCAGCTAGCTTACGGAACATCATTGGTCCTTCTCAGATGTCCGTTCGTGCCTGCAATGATGCAAGGGGGTGACCACCAGTAAATCTCTAAATTCGCAATATTACATGTCTTGGTGTAGCGTAAAACCCAACCCCAACAAACAAACAAAAAGAAAGAATGAAAAAAAAAGATACACGTGTTCGGTTTATTCTTATTGGCCTGATTTCATCAGCAGAAACATTTAAAGAAAATGATATACAAAACACTTGCTTAAGCTTTTCGATGAAACATATATCAAACGAAATGGCGGAACTTCCTGATTATACACTTCTAGTGTTTTCAGGTATTCCATTAATCAAGATGTATATTGCTGTCCAGGTTTTAGTTGTCACCATGCATTTATTTCTTACAGAATTCAGTTCAGAGTGGTGAAGAAGTACCTGATATAGGCTATGCGTCCATGCCAACGGTAATCTGATGTATTTACATAAACTTATACTGCAATGCATTCTGCAATACTGTCATAAATTACTTGCAAACCGACATATATATCATACGCTTTTCACTTAATTTAATTCCTATGGTTAAACGCATTGTTTGTTTAAATATATAAAACAATTATAACTGTTTAAATATATCGACATTCAATTGCTATGTTGTTTTTACAAAACTGATTATTTGAAGAGATTCCTTACAGCAAAAAAATACAAAAATACACGGAAACGAAACATATAAAATTAGAGAGTCAGAATATGTACTGCTTTTGCTTCCATGTATTAAATCGTCTTTTCAACATGGTATTTATCATGTTAAAAGTTTTATCTAAAAAAATCACATATATATGCATTATATATTGCATTTTTTATTTCGCAGCAGAGCAGAGTGTTAAATAACGACGAACCTAATCTAGCTACCGGAGAACCAGCCTCGCCCTTGACAGTGAAGACTAATTTGATACAAGTCGCCCCTGCACCAGGTGACATGACACATGAGTCAGTTGTGTAGACGGAACATCTGAGTGTGGAAAAACAGTTTTATTTTTTATAAAAATTATTAAGAGCATGTTGATGATTAAGGATAATTTTTCTACTTATTAAATTTTGTTCTTTTTCTTAATTCTGCATTGAAAAGTGTGAGTATTGTGAAACTTTGAATGTGCAAAGTGTATTGAAATCCTATGACCAAACTAGTTTTTCTAATCCAAAAGTACAACGACTAAAATCCTAACGCTGGGAGGGCAAATACAAAGTATGGAGATCCATGTAAAAAACAGTTTGACGTTGACAATGATTGTTGCGAAATGTTTGCACATTTGCATAAACTATTAGGTTTATTTTACGTTTTCATAAATAACTTATGGCATTTTTATGTTGTATTCAGTGTGCATTTGTATGTACTTAAAATTCATTTCATTTTCTTTCATGATTATTCATATTTTTCTTCAGGGTAGCTATTCTCACTTATACGTAAATAAGTGTTTGTACTTGTATAGGATCGACTGGATGCTTGAATTAAAATGTATATTTGTAAACTAACGTACTGGTATGTCACAGAAAAAGGACAAGAATATCGTGTTAGATGGAACTTTACTTCCTGAACAGGTACAGAAAAAAAGGACAAACGACTAGTTATTGGTTGAAGATAGAAATAGAATGGTCTTGTTTTTAAATCAGATAAAATCAGAAATGAACAATACAAAATTCATGCAGTAATGCAGTATTTTGTAAAGAGAGACAAAAATGTACCCGGCTGTTAAGATAGTATTATTGCTGCGCCTACTTTGATAATGTAGTTTTGTTTCAGGTCAGTACATGTAAAGAAAATGTCGTTAAAGGAAATTTTGGTTGACCTTTGTAACATTCTGTACTTCCCACGTGTCAACCATTTTAATACTTTTTCTTGTTTCTGAAAATGTTGTTTTTTTATTTTTTTTAACCATAGTAATGTATTTTACATCCATAACACAAATCGAAAGAACATAAAAATGCCTTTTTATCAAACACATTTTTGTTCACTTGTAGCTATATTTTTTGTGATAATTATTATTAAATTATAAACAATAAATCACTGGGTTTTGATATTGAAAAGTAAATACTGCACAAAACGACAACTTTAGCAAAAAGTATAGTCATTTATCATGGCACATAGCTTTAAATAAAATTTAAATTTTTCAAAATGAATTTACATTGGACATTTTACATTGAAACCTACATTTACTTTGAATAAACTTTAATTCACATATGAATGAGACATAAAGGGCACAAATGGGCTTGTTTAACCAATATTTTTATTATGTTAATGGACAGTTGTTTGCTAAATTAATGTTAAAAAAGGCATGCATAAAATACAAAAATAAAATACTAATTAAAATAATACTGAATGTAATCTAAATAAATATAATTCAACTAATTTCATACATAAAGTTATGATGTGCGTCAAGAAGTTAGTTAAAAAAGGTTCCGTATGTATAGAATTATTAAACATGTTCCATGAAGAAAAATCTTCTATTACTAAATTACTTTAAACTATGGCCGTTATGGCCTTATCATTTAAAATTTTTGTTCGAAGAAAGCTATAATTAATTTTATTTTGTATAACTATAGATAAATTGTGATTTGATTATATAACTATTTGATTTAGGAATAAGATCTTAGTATGACAGTAGTCTGTTGTGGTAAAACATTGCACATTTGTAAAACATTTGAATGAGTTGTATACTTAGGATTACTTCATGACACTGCTTACTTATTGGCGCCGATTTTCATATGAATTTTATAAACTGATATACGGAAGTGGAAGTTTATGTAAGATATTATTTTAGCATTATATGAAAAGAAAATGTTGTAAGAACTGAAAATATAAAATGCGTTATGTAAGAGGACAAACTCGATTGCTCATTTTTTAAATTTTAGATTGCTAACATGTAACCCGGAAGACTTTATGTATTGGTTGTTTGATCAGGAACACTAACTAAATTGTCATCGTGACATTTGTAGTTAGTTTGTACTTCTGAACTACTAACCTAGCTTCTTTTACTTATAAATAGAAAAGGAATGTTGCAAACCTGACCATATTTTGACCTAGGCTGACTGTATACAATGTGTTGTACTCCATCACGCTACTTCCTGATGTTAACAAAAAAAAACAATAAATAAAAATAATAAAAAAATAATAAAAAAACAACACATACACAAAAATGCAACAACATCAACAACCCTCCCGTAAAACAACAACAACAAAAAACAACAAAAACAAAGAACAAAACACACAAAAAAAACCAACAATAACAACAACAAAACAACTGAACGTACTTGATGGCTACTCATCTTTATTAAAAGTGCCTTGGCCTTTTTAATAAAGTTAATAAAGGAATTATATAGGATCTCGAACATTTCAGAAGTATTTAGCCTTAAAGTCCTAGATCTATTTATTCTAAATAAAAATAAATTAACATATACCCGTGCCACATTAGCGACTCCGTAAAAATGGTATTGCACGGCCGTATAAAATTAAGAAATAATATATCCCAAACTGTGATTTTATTGCTCAATAACATCACTGTTTGGAGTTCGGATGCGGGGAATTATATCACGAGGGCGTAGCCCGAGTGATATAATGATGCGCACCCGAACGACAAACAGTAATGTTATCAACGATTTGGATATATTATTTCAATTCTAACACGACATCAACAAATAAATGCTGCCGTACATGATAATTAGAAAAACTGCACTTGATTTGTTTCCGTACTTATTTTCAGCGCGTCACATTTTTAGTGGTTACGTCACGTGTATAACGATTATGTCACATATCTAAATACAGAACGTCAAACAGTGATTTTATAGCATAATAATACACACTTTCGGTTCTTCTATGTTCAATATGGAAACATGCGGGTCGTGTTAGAATAGATGGTATTGCACGGCCGTGCATATATTTCAACGTGACGTCATTTGCGTTATAGATAGACAGTGTAAAGACGCGCTAAATGTTAAAGTTATACTACAGGCGCGTCAATGAAAAAAAATACTTTTTCACTACAAACAGTCTTATTCTGGATATGTGATAAATAGTATATTTGTAGGCTCATTACTGATTTAAACAGAGACTCGCATTATATCAAATTTATTCAACGCGTTCAATGAATTCAGTATTGAACACTCATTCAATATCCTCTATTTAATTATGAAAAGGGGCGTCCGTGGCCGAGTGGTTAAGGTCGTTGACTTCAAACCGCGTGCCCCTCACCGCTATGGGTTCGAATCCTGACGGGGATTTTGGATTCTTTCATGTGAGGAAGCTATCCAGTTAGCTTCCGGAACGTCGGTTGTTCTACTCAGGTGCCCTTTTGTGTCTGAAATAATGCAGGGAAGGGCAAATGAGGTAATCCACCACCAGTAAAGCTGGAACGTCGCCATATTATTTATACTGTGTCGGTGTGACGTTAAACCCCCCCCCCCCCCCCCCCCCCCAAAAAAAAAAAAAAAATAATAATTATAAAAGCATTTTTAGTTATTAAAAACTATGGTTCTTTATTAGTACTTTTCACCTAAAAAACTATTTAACGAGCAAAACTTTTCTTCAGATCATGAAAACATATTTTTAAAACAAAAGTTATTCTTCAATTGTCAATATTTTCAAACAAGATGGTTATATGTGTGTGTGTGTTTTTTTTTGTATTTATGTACAGAATATAGTACATATAATTAATATTAAGTTTTAAATGCATTGAACTTATTTTGTCCAGTACATTTCGCACTTGATCACGCTGTCCGACGATGCTAAATTTTCCACTTCTCTATCAGGAAGTACATGTATCTTAACCTGCATACAGGTGTCATTGCATGCATACACTACATGTGAACGCCAGTTTAGTCGAACGTTAAAAGAACTACAGTGAAATATTTGATCTCTCGGTCATAAAGATGGGTATCTGTGAGTTACCAACACAAATTTGCATTTTCTATGAAGCAATAATGCCTGTATTATATAGGAACAAATTGCTGTCTAACAAACATATAATTTTTGGTTCTTTGCCCGTTTATTTTAATTTCTATAATTTTTGAATATATATCTTCACTAAACATTGTTGCATTTTATTTAACGTTCAAAATCACATTTAAGTAAAATTTCAAGGGAGGCGAATTATTCAAGTCGTGATGTCAATCATGTTTCACAGTTAAAATCATACAAATTAATTATCTTTCAGTTCCTTTTTGGAAATTAAAAAGTTTCTTTTATTTCATGGTTTCAGCGTCATATGGCGCTGAAACAGTAAAGATAATTTTTGTTAACCTCGGGTGTTACACGCTTTAAAAACACTAGAGGTCAAAACCACTTCACCTGCTGGAGCTAAGAGATGCATAGAGTTCCGCCATTCGAACCCATTTAGTTACCACTTACGACCACGCGATGTTAAACGGTGGCTGCAAATCGAATGCCGCAACGCGTAAAGGAAATCCCTCAACCACAAGGGACAATAGTTAAATCATATATTATCGTAACCTACATAGTACCAATTAGATTAACCATCATATTCATTTTTATCTACCGTGGGTTAAAAACGTTTTTTTTTATTTTACAAATTGAACTTGTTCAGTTCATTTTTAACAAGCGATATTTAACAAACATTAAATGGTGCAGCCTTAAGATGACGTAATCAAGTACAAAAAAAGGGAACAATGGTCTGCATTTGGGTACATAGTTACATGCCATGCCATTGTTTGTCAACAATGCGGCCCATGATCACGCAATCTTCCCCGTAAAGCATTACTATAAATAGGGCGATGCTGCTTTGTTCTTCATCTTTCAGCAATATCTTCCATTTATGTGCCGTTGATCCTGAACAGAAAAGACAAGTCATGGTAAGAAAACTTTTCTTTATTTTCAAAATATGTTTAACAACAGTTTTGATTAGCATATCATAATAATTAAATTTAAATATATAATAACGTGATATAATTGTGTAAGCCTAACTCTGCTTGAACTGGAAGTGTTAACCTTTGTGACCAGTATAAAGCCTGATCAGCCTACAAATCCGTGCAGTCTGATCAGGCTCTACACTGTTATCCATACGATTATAAATACATATATCTGTCTGTTGAAGCTGCATGTCTCCAGATGAGCCTAAATATTTCAAGAAAATCAAACTTTATGAAAAAGAATTGAGATTTTAAAAAAATAAAAATATTCAAGATAAAAGTAATAATTTCCATGTTATATGCGATAAATTACCGTTTTTGCTGTACTTTACACCACATTACTAACGCAGTAAGGGCTATTTTGGGCATATTTTGATATATGTTTGGTAATTTAGATGGATTTTAAGTGCTGTTTGAAATGTGAAAATCATTTTCTTTGTTCACTTCACAATATTTACTTTTTAATACATTTTCAAAATTTTCATGAAAATTACCATGTGTCTGGAGGCATGCTGCTTTAACCATTTTTTAATTTTCGTCTTGATATCACCAAACATAATGAACATTTCCAAATTCAAAACGGGACAAATCCATTGTATAAAGTTAGCAGGTTAAGGGTTAATGAAACCGATGGTTAGCTTAATTGTAACGATTGCAATCAGAGTTTTCTCTTTGAACGCCAATTATACTTTTTTGCTCATTACGGTCCTGCGTATATTTCTTTACGATAATGACTGCATATTGGCATATCTTGATATGCGCATAAAGTGACAATCGTTAAACATTACTTTTTCCTTTAAAATCCCTGTTTATTATGATATAACAGTACTGACAATTACAATTACATGACTGATCATGTTATTGTAGAGGGTAATACTAATCGTGACGGTGATGTTGGCGGTTTGTTGTATGTCCACTAATGCCTGGTGGAGCAGACGTCGTGGATCTACTGCTAGGAGCGAAGTTAGAACAAATGTACGTATTAACAATAATGGCGCCCCCAGCGGTTCAGGAACATGGACTAGGACGGGAGATAACTGGGAGACATCGGTTACTGGAAATGTTGATGCAAATGGGAACTGGGGAGTTGGTGCGTCAGCAACATGGCGTTTCAAAAGAAGTGACGATGTGGTAAGTGTTTTAATGTGATATCATTACAATATATGTTCGTTGTTGTTATTTTTGTTTATTTATCTTTTTTTCTGTTTTACATCGCATGACTAATGATATTAGTTAAGTTGCATTTGTTGATAAAATAATAGAGATGAAATACTAGTTACAAAGTAAGGCACATAATTGGGGAAAGAAACTATCATTTTCTAAAAACCTGATATTCTGTTTGACCTTTTTTAAATGAACTGTCATCTTTCTTAAATCAGTATCTTTTCGATAAATAGTTACACTAACATTTAGCGGCCCACCTTAAGACTTTTCAATGAAAATTTTGTTATTTTTTTAAATATTCAATTACTGCAAAATGAACAAAAATATTAATCTATTAAGTTTGCGTGAGACACTATCAATCCATATAATTTACGTGAAATATTCAATACTAGCCCCTTCTCATCTGGAAGTTTGTAAATTGAATCTTACTATTCACAGGAATAATCATATAATATCATATTGATCAAACTTTGTTTTGTATGTTGTAAGTTTGCTGTGAACACACACACGCGCGCGCGCGCGCACGAACGCACGCACATTAAACTTGATTAAGCTTATAATTATATTAATGTCTAAAGTTTCTAATTTCATATAAATAATTTACCTACATTACAGAATGATCAGCAACTTTACAATGTCTCACTCAAAGTTGATCCATGCAACTTTATCACGTATGACGTTGATAAAAATGACGAAATTATTCTTGGAGAAATGCATGCTATATTCGGTGATAACGAAATGGCGCTCAGTCTTTTCCTTGACCTTGATGAAAACGGTTTGTAAACTATAATGTTATTTTTATTTGAATGCAACATGAAACCTTCACAATACATATTATAAACAATGTTATTGTTTTATGAATGTCAGATATGTTGTTTTATTAATTTTATCTTGTGTCTTAACCAAACCTTATTAAAGAAAATATATATTATTGCTTATAGAATAAAGTATTTACACCTTTTCGTCAACATTAAAATTAACATAACTGTTTAAAATTCATAAATAAAATTGTTTATTGTTTAACACTGTTGGATATCAGCAGAACAAATCAAAGTTTCAAATGAATTGAAATAGTTTATGCGTATTATAAAATATACATATATTTCTTTTTACTTTAGAAAGTGGGGCCATTGAATTAGAAGAATTTTATCAGCAAGCGCCAAAGTTTATTGCAGCCTGTGTTAATCTTGGCACAGATGATGACGAATAGCTATATTCCAAAAAATATGTCGATCAAAGAAAAAGTGTAATACTGTAGACTGACGACAAATCTAGACATTTGATATTTGATTAAGCAAAAAATTGTTGTAACATCGTTATTTAATTCATTGATGAATTTTGTACACATATAAGATATATGCTGGTTATAAAATGTTGTTAAATCTATAAAAACGCACAAGTAACTTTCTTTATTTCTCCATTTCTTGCTTAAAATCGCATCAATAAAGTTTAAACTTTAAGAGACTTTTGTTTTTATTATAAGCGTTGTTTTATGAATTATTTTTACCCACAATGCAGTAGTCCTGGTACAAGTTTGCATTTATTTTATTCATAAGAACTTTTAAAAGGATATTACAATTTACCATTTATGATATAACTTAACCTTACAAGAATCCAATCTCCTACGCAGTGATCTTTCCAAATCAGTGTAGAGATTACAATCTGCATTTTATTATCTGCAATATGAATTTATGTAATATCGACGCATATATTAATTACATACATAAATAATTATTTCGTGGTTCATTATTATGTCTGATACTAAATACTGTCAACGTAATAATTTATTGTATTACACACATCTATTAAAGACCATTTACTTTAATAAAAGATCGCTAGCCGCATGGGTTCAAACCCTGTCAGGGGCAAGTCGTTGTTTCCTTGTAGAAGAAACTTTACACACATTGCTCAGTACTGGTTGGTTCCAGGAACGGATTCGAAAGTGTTTCGTTAAGCTAATAGCTTCCTACACAATCGAACTAAAATTAATTCTTTATTTAAACCAAAAGAACACTTCGAATGTGAATGTTTTGATATGCCCAAAAAGAATTGATAGCATTTAGAGGCGCGTAAATCGTTTGTATTTTTATGTTATAAACTGCGAGTCTGTCAAGACATTTTTTTCCTAAATAGCCAACTAAATTCTTCCTCAAAAAGAAAACCTAATACCGTTATCAGATGTCCGTATAATACAAACACGTCATAAGTCTGTTCTTCTCTACATTCTTTCTTTTCAAAGAAAAATAAATCTTACTTTGTTAATTGATTAGAAACTGAAACGATTATTTCCCTTTTAATCATGACACTTTAAAGTTGGTGAAGTCATTGTAGAAAAAACACGCATTATTATTATTAAAGCCTGACATAAAAATAGTATTTAGGGCCTTAAAATTGACTTACGAGGTGCGGTTGCAGAAGAGTTAAACAATGAATTTTATAATTAATATCCCATCCATGCTTTTTGACAATAATAAAGCAAACACCAGTTTACGTTCTCAAAGAGCGTTTGTTGTAAACATATTGCGATTAACAATCGATTCATGATCGTGTTGTCTGACCTGGCTTCAAGTTTGTATCTTAATATTGAAATCCCTCAAACTGTTCCAAATTCAAAGCGGGACATCTCCTCAAACACATTTAGCAAATTAAGTGTCACATATAGTTAATTATATGTAGAAATAGCGACATACTTACAATTAAAATACATATGTTCACGATGTGTATAGTTGAGAATGATGTTAATGGTCATGAATAGTTTAAGGAACTAAGATCTTCAGTATTAAGGTCCCTTATTGGGAATTTTAGTAATTCTTTTACCATAAATATATACTCTAAGGATCTTTATTTTAGATTTTTACAAAATTTCAGTGCTTTTTCTCGGACAATTTTTAAAAATATACATCAAACCAGTAGACTTGGTCATGCCTATGTGAATATCACGTGATACCGGTGCTTAGACGCTTGAGCAATTACGAAATTACGAAAGAGATGTCTATGAACTAAAAAAGGATTCAAGCCGCGATTATCAAATTTTGTATTTGTTTTTCATAAGCCTCACATTTCTTCATTATTTCTTTTTTTAAGGATAGCAAGTTCTTTCGCGGTGAATGGTAGACGGTATTAGGTATGTTGATGAGACTGTTTGTCAATAAAATTGAGTTGTATTTAATATATCTTTTATTCATCATTACATTGTTTTTAATCAGATAACTTATATATATGTCGTTAATTAATAGTTTCTGTTTTTCATTCTCGCCTTAGTTACAAAATTTCATAAATCAAGTCATTGGTGTTTAACTAAAATATATCATCGATATTGCTCTAAAAACAAATCGTCGATGTTTAGTCGGTATTTAACTAAATACTGTAATCCGTGATCAAATCGGTGTTTAACCAAAAGCAAGTTATCGATGTTCAGCTAAGCACATGTCATTGGTGCTTACCTTAAATCATTAAATCGAATTTTAGTAACAACATCGTTATTTCTGCAACTTTTAAATATGTGTCAGTTAGATCACATACTGTTTATACAATTCAGATAATAGTTTTTGTAACGTGCGTTTTCATTTTATTTGATTTTGAAAAAAAATCGTGTACACTGTTTACACATGTCTAAATTAAAGTTCACAATCATAAAAATGTAGATATTTTCAGCATTTAGGTTTTTTACCATTGAATTTAATTTTGAATCATCCAATTTCTTCTTTTATCCTCACACACAATAATATCATCATCATCATCATCACCGTCGTCATCATCATCATCATCATCATCACCACCATCGTATTCATTATCGTCATCATCATTGATGATATATTTGCTTCAATGAAGTTAACATTATTGTCTACATGGTCTATGACCAGCAATAGTTGAAGTTAATTCAATCAAAATCAAAATTATGGGGACGGAAAATTACTAATTTAAGACAGCCAGTTTCATTTTACAATCCTATCTCTTTTGTTCTTATATAAACGGATATGAATGAAAAATATGTAAAGCAAATGTGTTTGTCATCTTCAATTTAAGATTAACATCTTCTTGTAATGTTTAAGCTATTGTATTATTAGAAAGAAAAAAAACAAACAAAAAAAAACATTAAAAACATAAACAGGTAAAAAATGTCTTGAACGTAATATGTGAGCAAAATATGGGTTTCCTGCGATTTTCCTTAAAAGTTGGCATTTTGAATGCACAAAATCTAAACTTTTAGTATTTAATATGTACAATATATATATTTAACTAATCTTCCACATTTAAATATCGAAATATTAATTGACGTTGAAACTATAATATGTGTTTTATTTTGTTTTAATCTAAGGTCATATATTGACTTTCTAGCTTTACTGGCGATATGACCTCACCACCTGAGTAGAACAACCGACGGAAAGTAAGCTAGCTCAGATAGTTTCTTCACATGAAAGAATCGAAAGCCTTAGCGAAATTTCGAACCCACAGCTGTGAAGCAAATGGATTAAAGTCAGAAACCGTAACCACTCGGCAACGGACGCCCCTCAGCATATAGATTACATAAATACGTATCAAACAAGAATATAAAAAAACGAAAATCAATTCTGGTATGCATATATTTAAGTGAAAAACAAACAAACCAAGAAGACTAACAAATACCTGGTATGCAAGCATTTTAAACATATCTTATTATTACAATCAAATTTACAAAGACAATTTTGTGAATACTATTCTCAACCCGCTCATCTCTGAGAGAAATGAATATCAATAATGTCACTAAAATCATATTGGTAGAACAAAAGTCCAACCAGTTTTCACTTTTTGTTTGAATGAAAAGAAACGCTAGATTATCCACATGAAAAATAACTTTTTCTTGGCGTCATGAAGAGTCTACATCAGTTCATTTTTTCACTGTTTGTCTTTTCCTGAAATGTAAAATTTAAAGCTGTTCATAAATAAATAAAATAGTGATAATTTATGTTTACTTTTGTATACATGGGTAATTTTATCTCGTTTTTATAATATAAGTAAATGAAGGAAGTTTGGTAATTTGGACATTTTTTTTTGAAAAGTATATCTTTTTCAGTTGCCGTGCAAATATTTAGGTATATATGAATTTGCTCCCGTAAGGTCAAAATAAGTTGATACAATCCATTCAGAGTGTACACTTAATTTTAATACATTTACCCCAACAACATTAATATTGAATTGGATATTTATTCAGCAAAGCAATATAGTAAAAGATATCGGTTTAAAGAAAACTATTTTCACTTATACCTTATCGGGTTCTTACAGCGGACGGACCACTGTCTTTGACGTCGTCGTCGTCATCATTGTTCTCGCCACTGTTGTCTTGTTTCGGTTATCCTCCCTCCATTTCTTATACCATTCCCGGAATCTATAGAATGACGGGTACCTTGGTCCCCATGGAGAATGATATCCCGGTCGACCCCTCCAATCATGTTTCTGTTCGCTATCAGAACTTTCATCTGTCACTTCGCTATCAAAATTTTCATCTGTCACTTCGCTATCAGAACTTTCATCTGTACTTTCAGACTCCGTTTCATCACTGGAAGAGTCATATAATCCCCAGCGTCTTCCTCCTTTATTCCGACCAAAATGATTATCATTTTTTCTAGAAAAGCCATCTAACGTGCTTATCAACATTGTTAGAATAATAACGAACAAGCACACTGTCAAATGAATTTTAGTCGCCATCATTCGCGTATGGTATTATACGATTCAGTTATAAGCTTGCAATGGATATGGCTTGTGTTGAAACTAGACTAAACTAGAGTTGACTTAAACTGGTCTTTTTAAAACCATCTGGAAGCTCATCAGCGCTGATATAATTGTTAACATCATTCATCCACACATTATCAAAATAAACAATTCAAACAATCTTTTTTTTTTTCAGTTTTTTCAGTTCAAACAAAAACTATCCTATTCACTATGCACTATTCACAGGGCAATTATATTTATAAAGCGGAAGTAAAACTGTTTTACAATATATGCACAGTGTTTTTTTTCTTTGATGTTAAGACAATCAATATTCAATTCTTTGTTATTTTTTAAACAAATATATGTTATTTTTGATATGTTAAAATATATATGTGTACATTCTGATACACGAGTTCACTTATTTATGTAGAACAAAGCTCTGCGCTGTTATGTTATCAATACTTGTAAGAGGAATTTTGGATTATAGAAATCAAAAAACAGGATATATAAATATTTGTGTTATGTTAACCCCATTTATTTTTCACTTTATAAAATATAACCAATGTACGTTTGTCGTTTGCACCACGTGGTTTTCCATTAGAAATCATTATTGGATTCAATATCAATATCCTTATCAATTTAGCCCCCTTGTGATTTACAGAGTGCAAAATTTCTAAACCAAATCCATGTCGCACCCCATATAGCCCCGTTTTCATTTCAAGAAAAGGAGTACAAAAAGTTCATATTAAATCCGTATCGCACCCCATCGTGT